TATAATCAATTAATATTATTTAATCTTGACTATGCAATTGAAAAAAAAATTGAACATGATCTATGGACAATTGTATTTAAAAATGAAATAAGTTATAAACAAGAACAATTAAAAGAAAATCATCAACATCAATCGAAACGTACAGAAATTCAAACTAGTTTACAAACATTATATGAATATGCTCGTGGTTATTATATGAAACTATTACAAGTAAAATAATATTTTTAACAAAAAAATGAAAAAAATTATTCTTTTTTTAAGGATGTTGTTCATTCATATAATTTTGAAAATTCTATATGTAAATTAATATTTCCATTTTTACAAAAACAATCTTTAAATTCTAATCATCATCATCATCAATGTAAAGAAGCATCAATGCTTTATTTTATTCAACATATTCTTGTTCATGTTGGTGATTTAAATCGTTATTCAAATCAAATTGATTTAGCTAAAACATTTTATCAATATGCGATATATACAATTCCATGTTTAGGTCAACCATATAATCAAATAGCTATATTACATGAAATGAAAAATCCATTATCTTTATTAACACCCGGACAAAATCAATTAATAACAACATATTATTATATACGTAGTATTGCAATAAAAGTTCCATTTCCATTGGCAATATCAAATTTAGAAAAATTATTTCAACGTCTGAAAGATCTTCCATTATCGCGTTATGAACAACAACAACAAAATGATTTTTTAACATTATTTTTACAAATCATAGCTATGATTAATTTAGAATCAAGATTTGAAGAAGATATATATTCATTTATAAATTTATTTCAAACGATAATTATGAAAAATTTAAATCAATTTTATTTTATACAAATGATAACAATTATTATGTTTACATTACATCGTACATTAGGTTTATTACCACGTTCATCACCATCAATATCAAAAAATCCTCAGTTACAATTTGATTTAATATTACAAATATTAATTATAATTATTGAACAATGTTTGGAAGCTATACAATTACCATTATCAATGATGATTATTGATGAACAACATATTCTACCAATACTCTATTTAACATTTGCATATTTAGATCATATATTAAAATATAAAAACGATTTATTTGAACATAAAGTCTTTAAACAAAAACAAACTATGTGGAATTCATTAGCAAAATTATTAAGATCATTTAGTGTTTATGCAGCAAATCTCGAATTAAATAAAGGTAGAGAAAGATGATTCATTTTTTAATTTAAAAAGAGGAGTATTTCGGGGGTGGGTGTAAGTGGGCGTGGGTTGAGTGGCTATTGCCACGAACACCCACACACGTACCCTCGCTCTCACCCACATCCACTCACACTCATAGATGTTTCCTTCGACGGACAACTTTTCACAACTCTAACTTGTACCCGTCGAATTTTTTGCTAGTTTCATCTTTCTATATGTTTACCTCTCGATATTCTTCCTTTCGGCTCAAGTTTAGAGAATCCTGCATATTAAAAATTTTCTGAGAGTGTCCGTAAGATAGATATGATACACCCACGATCCTTCATTGTTAGAACTTTATATTACTTAGTATATACAATGAATATGTCAAGTAGTCTGGAAAATAAAAATTCGGAAAGGAAATAAATCACCGCGAAAGGTTCTGTGGTGTGGGTGAGGATGTTGGTGTGGAAGAAGAGTAGTCCCTACCTATACATCCACACCTACACTCATCCTCACCCACCCACCCTACACCCACCCACCCTACACCCATACACATCCATACTCCCACTCTTACCTACACCCTGAGCACCCGCTGCTACAACGACGACATCGATCGTGCCGAGATTCTCGATGGATTCTCACTATTGGTGGCCTCAAAAAAATAAGCTTATCAGATTCTCACTAATATATCCACATCTTTTATTTGTTGTTTCTTCTATGATTAATAAACTTCAAGTAAAATTTTTCCGAGTTTTTTCTTTTCCAGAATTTCTGCTCCGGGTTTTTTGACAACATCTGTAGAATCAACAACATATATAAAAAAATTTATTTATTGTTTAGATAAGAATGAATCAAGTGGATCTTTATTCATTCGATATAGTGATTATCCACTTGCTGAAGAACGTGCCTTAGAATGTTTTACACCATTAAATGATATACTTAAATCGTATAATTTTAAAAAATATGATGATAATAATCCAACAAATGAACATTTAAGTGAAAAAGATGAAAGACAATTACGTAAATTACGTTTAGTTTTTATTCTACGACAATTATGTCAAAAAATTGATGAGAAAACAAAGAAAAAAATCTTTGAACATTTAATAACATATGTTAAAGATGATGTAGTTTATTTCGAATCATCTTCACCAACAATACAACAAATTCCTTCATCAAATTTTGGCGTACCTGGTGACCGACGTACAACAATACAAGTATATTTCTGAAAATGTTTAAGATTTGATAAACAACTATTTTCTTTTCTCTACATAGAAACCGGTAACTGATGATCAACGAACATTTAATCCAAATGGTAGTGCACATGTTAAAGCACCTCGTGGTATTCGTAATATAGCATTACGACAATTTCTTGAACCTACAATGGCTGGTATGTATTATTAAAAATTCATTTACTATTAAACTTATTTATTTAGCTGTTCAGTCGACATCGAATGATCGTCCAGTACATCAAATAAACACTGCTAATGATACAAGTCCATTTCCACTACCCCCTCCTCCACCTCCTTCTCATCTCCTAGAACGTATGTGATACAAATTCTTCGTCTAAGAAAAAATTCTATTAAATTAATTTAGAACCAGATACCTGGCCATGTTTACCATCTTCATCTGAATCCAAAGATCTTTTTCAACAACAACAATCAT